GGAGCCTAGACCGAAGGCCACAGGAAGCTCGGCTGGCCCGAAGGAACCCCATCTTTGAATTCCCTGGCTCCTTCAGTGCTGCTGGCCATCTGAACTGCCGGATGAATGGTGTGTGAGCCAGGTCCCCAGTATACCCAAGACAGGCTCTACACAGCTTGGCAGGGCTGGAGAAGGGGTCAGTCCCAAAGGAACACAGAACCCAGATGCAACTCTTGGAGGGAGAGTTGCTTGAGATTGATTTTTCTCTTCTTTGCAGGTCAAGTAGTGAAGCCATTACCACTGACCTGCCCTGACTTCCAAGACCCCTTTTCCTTGACCGAGAAGCCTCCAGCTGAGTTTTGTCTGTCCCCAGATGGCAACTCAGAGGCCATTTCCATTGACCTGCTTCAGAAAAAAGGTGAATATTACCCCAGCTCAGGCTGGGAATTCTTTTCTCAGTACCTATTTGTGCACATTGCACAATTGCCCTACCATTTAATCTTCCAGAATATTTCCCTATCTTAGAACTCCACATGCTAGAACGGAATTAGGACAGCAATTGGGGCAAGACGTAGAAGTCTGTGCATTGTTTATGGCGTGTGTGCATGAGCACACAAGGGTCATTTATCAGGTGCTTAAGAATCGGGCTTCAGTCTCTTACCTTAGGAAGCTATGTATAGTGAGGGAGACTGCCATGCCATAAATAAGTAGCCATGTGCTCTACTGGGGACAGTTCAAGTACTACAGGGTCTAACAGCTTCAGTAAGCAGGATGGTAACATCTACTAAGATGTTTAGAAAATAAGGGACCACGGGACTAAGAGAGCTGTTTCAGTGAGGTGATGTGGAGAGAACTGAGTATCACTGTGGGATGAAAGGAAGGAGCCTGTGAGAAGGAATAAAGATGAAGCTAAGGTCCCTTGCTGCAGAGGGAAAGTGGGCGATTCAAACCTAGGAAGAGGGAAGAACCTTGAGCAAGATGGAGAGTGAGGGAGGCCTGAGAGAGGGTAGGAAGAATGTATTTGTGTTCATGACCAGTTGCCTCTGTTCTCTGGGTGAAGTAGAACCAAGGGCTTGAGAAGAGGAGTAAAGATCTGGCAACATGAAAGGGTAGCAGAGCGTACCGCGAGATGCACATCCAAGAAGTACCCTTGTCAGTCACTGTGGTGAGTGGCCCTGGACTTTCTCCAGCAGCCACTAGCCTGGTTTCTCATAGCAGAGAAGATGGATAGTTAGATTGATCCAGGGTTTGGAGTAAGAGGGTCTTGAAGATGCAGTTGCTGAGATGGGTCCACTGGTGGTGAAAGCAGTGCAGGGCTTGAGAACTGGGCAAAAACAGGAAGGGGCTAGGGCCTGGTCCTTGGTGAGACTGAGATCTGTGTGCAGGGACAGAGAGAGAGAGAGAGAGAGTGGAAGCCCCTCCCTCTCTCCACGGAGGGCTCAGTTTCAGCCATGTTGCTCACAGACTTCCTTAGGAACCTGTCTCACATCAAATTCTTACTTGTAGGGTTGGTGAAGGCAGTTAACACTGCTGTGGACCTCATTGTAGCCCATTTTGGCACAAGCCGGGATCCTGGAGTGAAGGTAGGCAAAGAGGGGGATCACGAGAGAAGCATGCTCAGATCCAAGAGACTCAGAGAGGACCAAGGTAGGGCATCAAATGATTCCCTGTACTTCTCTACTGCATCCACAGGCAAAGCTGGGGAATAGTTCTGTGAGCCCCAATGTGGGCCACCTGGTTCTGAAATACTTGTGCCCTGCAGTCCAGGCTGTGCTGGAAGATGGGCTCAAGGCCTTTGTGCTAGATGTCATCATTGGGCAACGGAAGAACATGCCATGGAGTGTGGTTGAGGCTTCCACACAGCTAGGTAAGTGCTGGGTGGCAAGATATGGACTCTAGGCTGAAATTAGGGTTCCAGAGACTGGACATGTGACTGCTAACTCTGGCTTCCTCTCAGGCCCATCCACCAAGGTCCTGCATGGCCTCTACAACAAAGTCAGCCAATTTCCAGAGCTCACCAGTCACACCATGCGTTTCAACGCCTTCATTCTTGGCCTGCTCAAGTGAGTGTGTGGGGCACCAAGAGCTGCAAACCACCAGCCCTCTCCCCTGGGCTCCGCCACTTCTGAGGAACCAACTCTCTAGACTGAGACAGTCAGGTGGATAGGCAGGATCTGTGGCCAGGGCCCAGGCTTACCTCCCCCCCACCCACATCTAGCTACAGCCTCTCTCAGTAGGTCACTGGTTTCCCACCACACCCACAACCCTCTGGCACTGATCACCAACATGGTCCTTTGCTTTTAATCTGGCTTTTAATCCATAATCTGGCTTATTTGGAAATTAATCTAGTTCTTTGGATATTATAAACCTTGATCCTCCCCATTCCAGCACTACTTCCAAATCCTGCCTGACCATAAGTCCACCTTGAGACCCACATCCTAGTATCTTTCTTTCTCAAGTATGGGCCCAGGCCATCCCCTTTGGGATGTGTACCCTGTACTCTCACAGTAGCTTCCCTGACTTCTTGGGTCCTATGCAAGTCAACTCCTTTCTAGAAGGAAGAAATTGGCTTGTGAATCACATGTTCACCCCCTCCCAACGTCCCCACCGACTTTCCAGAACCATATTACATGAAATGAACCAGGTAGCATCCCTGCCATAGAAGGAGGATGTTCCCCTATACCTCTGCCCTATGTCCATGGGACCCCATGTCCATCTCCTTTGTACTTTATCATCTGGCTATATCCACCCAAGATTCAACTCTCTTCACCTGTTTCCCTACAGCATCCGGTCCCTGGAGTTCTGGTTTAACCACCTCTATAACCATGAAGGTAATGCCTAGAACACTGTTCTCTCTTGCAAACTCAATATAGGCCAGACTCAGAGGCTCAAAGAGGGAGGCACAGCTCTTTACAGGTGCTAGAGGTGGGGAGGGAACCACACAAGCTTTCATCCTCAAAGCCGAGGCTTCTGCCCAAAACTTTCCCCAGCTTCTACTTAAGTTAGAGCCTTGAAGTAAGCAGGATACTCAGGCAGTCTGGAAGTCAGGGTGGCTAGGAACCCCAACGCCTCTCCTCTGAACCTGGGACTGCCACTTAGGGTTTGGAGATCATGACCCACATAACTTCAGGTGGTGGTGTTTCCACCAGAGTGCATCTGAGGGCACAGTATGCAGCCTGTGCGGCTCTGCCAGGGCTGCTTCTCAAAGGCCCACCCCAGACCATGCTGCACTTCTCTGTGGCTCAGGACTCTCTCTTTCTCCCCTAGATATCATCCAGACCCACTACCAGCCATGGGGCTTCCTGAGTGCAGCGCATACTGTGTGCCCTGGGCTCTTTGAGGAGCTGCTGCTGCTGCTACAGCCCCTGGCCCTGCTGCCCTTCAGCCTCGACTTGCTGTTCCAGCACCGGCTGCTGCAAAGTGGGCAGCAGCAGCGGCAGCACAAGGAGCTGCTGCGGGTGTCCCAGGACCTACTGCTGTCTGCCCACTCAACGCTGCAGCTGGCCCGGGCTCGGGGCCAGGAGGGCCCTGGAGACACAGACAGGGCAGTCCATGGGGAACGGGTGAAGGGTGTGGGTGCCTCAGAAGGTGGAGAGGATGAAGAGGAAGAGGAGACAGAAGAGGTGGCAGAGGCAGCTGGGGGCCCAGGGCGTGGCAGGTGGGCCCGAGGTGGGCAGGCTGGCTGGTGGTACCAGCTCATGCAGAGCTCCCAGGTCTACATCGATGGCTCAGCCGAGTGCTCTAGGTTCCCCCGTGGTGGCAGCAGTAGCAGCAATGAGAAAAAGAAAGGGTCAGGAGGTGGGGGACCACCCCCTCGAGAGGGAGTAGTCGAGGGAGCAGAGGCCTGCCCTGCCCCTGAGGAGACCCTTGGCCGGGACAGGGGCTGGCCCTTCTGGATGGGGAGCCCCCCTGATTCTGTACTGGCTGAGCTGAGGCGCAGTCGGGAGAGGGAAGGGTCCACTGCCGCCTCAGCAGAAAGTGAGGAAGGAACCTCAGAGCCTTCACCTGGGGGCATCAAGTGGGGCCACCTCTTTGGTTCCCGAAAGGCTCAGCGTGAGACCCGGCCCACAAACAGGTGAGAGGCAGCCCATGGTGTAGATGGAGGGATTGGGGGAGCCTCTCTAAGCCAGGATACAGACAGAGCCAGAGCCCTGGCTGCTCTCTTCTAGGCTACCCTCCGACTGGCTGAGCCTGGACAAGTCCATGTTCCAACTAGTGGCACAGACAGTGGGTGCCCGCCGGGAGCCAGAGCCCAGGGAAAGCCTGCAGGAACCACCCTCTCCAGCTCTGCCCTCCAAGCCTCCATGGTAAGCCCTGGGAGATAGGATTGGGGGGCTGGGCTTGGCTTTGGATCGGGTTTCTCTGACCTCCATTTGTTGTTTCCCCAGCGAGGTGAAGGCACTGTGCCATCATCTGGCCACAGGCCCTGGACAGCTGAGCTTCCGCAAGGGAGATATCCTCCGGGTGCTGGGGCCAGCTGGAGGAGACTGGCTGCGCTGCAGCCGTGGCCCCGACACCGGCCTGGTGCCACTGGCCTATGTGACCTTGACCCCAACTCCAAGTCCAACCCCTGGAAGCAGCCAAAATTGAGGTCCTGTGCATGTTGGTGGCCTCAGGGACCCTCATAACGTCCAACTCAGAGCCTGAGAGCCCTTCCCAAGCCCTCTGGCTTGGCCACAGAGAGCAGACTGAGAGCTGGGGGCCGTACATCCCTGTGCTCAGTATTAATTACTCCCCGTTAACTGTCCCAGTGACCTCATCCAGACCTCCACCTGGGAAAGGAGGGAAGGGATGCAGCACTGGGCTGCCAGGATTTCCCCAGGCCATCTGGGCTGGCCCTTTCATAGGTACAGATAAGCATGTCCCTATGGAGGGAGGTGACCAGAGGCCCATTTGCAGGTTCCCTAGGCCAGGTGGTAAGGAGGTTGGGTGACAGTATTGGGGCTAGTTCCCTGAGCCCCCAAATGTAAATAGGCTGTGGCCAGTGCCTGGCGGTCAGAAGAGGGAGGAAGAGCCCAGGCTTCTGTTTATGTATTTATTTATTTATTTATTACACCTATTAATAAAAAAGGTGCTCGGCCTCCAAACCATTTTTCTTTGTGCCTCCCCCCACCCTGGGGCCCACCTCTCTTCATTGCAAAAAGATGGCTGGGATAGGAAGAAAGGGAAGAGAAAACTTGAAGTCCAGGTACCTATACCAGGAGCTGCTTCTGGAGGGTGCTGAGGCCCAGTGCATCATGGGTGAGATGCCCATATGTGCGACCGAACTGGAACTTATACCCTATATGGACAAGAAAGTCTGTCACTTGTAGCTGGTGGCATGGAAAAGCCTTTTATTTTCCAGCCAGTGCCTAAGCCAAAATCTGGTCCCAACTTCCACTGTGAGCTGCCTCCATTTCCTTTTCTTCCCAGTGATAAAACTGAACCACATGATCCAAGCCCCCCACCATATCTATTAGTTCCAACCCCCCAAACCACTTCCACCCGTTCCACATACAAATACTCCAGTCCCCCAAAGCTTCCCTCTGGGGCTATCCTCACCTGGCACATAACCCCCATAATTAGGTAACAGGCCCAGGTTCTGAGGGTAGGTCCTAGAAAGTGGGGGGAGATGTTTGGGATCCTTCTGGGGTCTGTCCCCTGAATACATCTGTCCAAATTCCTGCAGTGCCCGGTTGGTGAGAACAGGAAAGCTGGAGCCGAAGAGGAAGCGGGCCCGGGGCACATAACCAGTGAAGCCTGGAGGGATGGGGATACTGAAGTCAGGACCTCCTGGGGGCTCCCCACACCTTTGATCATTACCCACTTCCTCTCACCTGGCATGAAGTACTTGTGAGGATCTTTGTCATCCATGGAATAGGGGGAAGCCTTGTGAGGGAAAGTTGACAGAGAAAAAACAAGGCTATCACATTCAGCCACTGTGCTCTACCAGAAGCTCCCAGGGACCTGGAGCTGGCCGTCAGGCCCACACCCCCTGCACCCAGAGTCATGCTACTCATGGCCACCCCTAGACCTGGCCACACTCCCAACCCCCCTTCACTCTCTCCAGCCTTTCAGGTCTTACTTGTTCTGCCTCTTGCCCCGGCTCAGGCTCTTTCTCTGACTCCAGCTCTGACTCTGGCTTTGGTTCTTGGTCTTTCCCCACGTCTTTTTCTCCCTTTGCTTCCTTTGGCAGCTCTTGACTCCCTTGTCCCCCAGACCACTGAGTGAAATCATTCAGAGCCTCAGCCCAGACCTGACTACAGTTCTTGGCAAAGATGAACTGTGCCTGGGGTACAAAACCTGGGTGGGAGGAGGCAAGGAAGATTTCGATTAGTGTTTGGGGCACATGTTCTGGGACAGGGACACCGTACATACATACCTGTGTACCCTGGGATCATGGTGGAGCTGAGCCTTTCATGCCCACGCCTGACAGGCAGGCTTCTCCTGGGAACCTTAGGAGATCGTGGAGGCTGGATGGGAGGCAGAAGTGTGCGATGGGCAGGGGGCCAGGCCAGACCAGGAACTCCTCGAAGTAGCTGACCAGTCATCTGCCCATAGGTCTGGCCCATGCTGAATTGAAGTAGTGGGCAGTGTCCGGTGTACCTGTAGCACAGGACTTCCCCACTCATCTCCAGTCTCCCTCTGCTCCACTACCCCCAGAGATAGAAACAGAGACCTCTGAAGCCCTGATTTTTTTCTGGATTCAGCTGTGTGCATATTTGGAACAGGCATTTCTCAGTTCTCTAGGTTTTCAACCCTTCCCCTGTGCTATTACCCTATTACCATAGAAAAGACAACACAGAGCTTTGTGACAGGCCCAGCTACCACTATTGCCTTGCTTTTCCTGTATCATTGAACATCATAAATAATCCAGCCCTGGGTCTCCCAAACCAGTATGTCTACTTGGCCTCCAAGGTCTTGGTGGCTCAATTCCCATATCCCTATATGCCTATTTCCAGAAGCAAGCAGCATGTACCCTGGGTAGAAGTCTTACCCTGGGATATAATGAGAGTTCTGGGGGTTCAGCCCTGGTATGAAGGTGCTGGCCATAGCCATGGGAATCCAGGCAGTTCCTTTTGTTTCCCTTGGAGCCCAAGCTCTGGGCTGTGTGTACTGTGTCCAGGGCTGTGGGGTGGAGCCAGAGGCAAGAGGCAGTGCCAGGGGAGGAGAGAGAGGAGGAGGCATTAGTGTGATAAATGCCAGGGCCAAGGCCAATAGAACAGGAGAGCAGGGATTCACTGGCTTGTCTACTCCAGAACAAATGCAGTCAGTCAAGTGGGGGCAGGGAAAAGTCTGAGTAGGACTGCCCCATTCCAGGAAGGCCTAAAGTGGGAGGTGAAAGAACAAAAACTGTTAGCTCCACTCAGCTCTTTATATAAATATATATATATATATATATATATATATATATAGTTTGTTTATTTTTGAGACAGAGACAGAACATTAGCGGGGGAGGGGCAGAGAGAGAGGGAGACACAGAATCTGAAGCAGGCTCCAGGCTCTGAGCTGCCAGCACAGAACCCGATGCGGGGCGCGAGATCATGACCTGAGCCGAAGTCGGACACTCAACCAACTGAGCCACCCAAGCGCCCCTCCACTCAGCTCTTTGTTAAAAGAAGACCCTTCCTTCTTAAGCCTCCTGCCTGAAGACATGTGGGTGCTACTCTCTGTGAGTCTTGGTTGGAGGTGACCAGAGTTCCTGGGAAAAGAGGTCTCTGAGGGAAGCCCAGAGGGGAGGTGACAGGGAGAAAAAGGAACCTAGGGACCTCAAAGCAGTGACATTGTTTATTTTCAGTAATTTAATCTGATAAGAAATATTTATTGATTACCAACCATAATGTGGATCATCACTCAACAAATAATGCCATGCTCTCCTACACACATTCTGTAGTCAGAAAAGCTAAGCTCCCCATGACTTTGGGCAGGTCATTTAGTATCTCCGAACCCCACCATCATTTACAAAATGGAGAATTTAGGACTCACCCTGCTACTGTTGTAAAGCTCAAATTAATATATACAAATGTGTTTTGTAACAGTAAAGACCATGAAGTCAGAAGGGCGGGGGTAGGAGAAAGAGCATGGGCATGAGGTCACACAGTCATGCGCTCCTAATAACTTGTTGCCTCCAGCCAACCTTACCTTTTGTGAGCAGGTGACTTAACTTCTTCTGAACCTGAATTCCCTAAACTCTAACACAAAACTTAAAATAACCTAACCTACCAGGGTGCTGTTAAGGATAAAGTCACTGTGGGAAAGAATTTACCCCAGGCACCTGGCACACAGCTACTAAAACTTAATTTTCTTCCCTATTGTCTAATATTTCCTCAAAGCTTCTAACGCATATGGGAGATCTGTGACTGGTTAGTAAATTTAGTGGATATGGGTTTTCCTACTGTGGGAGTTCACAGAAAGGAGATATGATGGTAATGTTGGGTTTTTAAGACTAGGGTTTTAAGAACAAATTAGAATTTGTTAAGAAAACAATTCAGGGGCACCTGGCTGGCTCAGTTGGTAGAGCATGCAACTCTTGGTCTCAGGGTCACGAGTTCAAGCCCCACACTTGCTGAAGAGCTTACTTAGAAAAAAGGGGGCAGGGGCGCCTGGGTGGCTTAGTCGGTTAAGCGTCCAACTTTCGCTTAGGTCATGATCTCACGGTTCGTGGGTTTGAGCCCCGCATCGGGCTCTGTGCTGACTGCCAGCTCAGAGCCTGGAGCCTATTTCGGAGTCTGTGTCTCCCTCTCCTTCTGACCCTCCCCTGCTCACGCTCTCTCTCTCTCTCCTGGAAATAAATAAAAAATATTAAAAAAGAAAAAGAAAAAAGGGGGGGCGGGGAAGGGATGTTTGCATGGCTCAGTTGGTTAAATATCAGTCCAAGTCTTGACTTTGGCTCAGGTCACAGTCTCATGGTTTGTGGGTTCAAGCCCTGTGTCAGGCTCTGCACTGACAGCAAGAAGCCTGCTTGGGATTCTCTCTGTCTTCCTCTCTCTCAAAAAAAATAAACTATAAAAGAGTGGGGGAGGCGCCAGAGTGGCTCAGTTCTTTAAAGCATCCAGCTCTTGATTTCAGCTCAGGTCATGATCTCACAATTCAAGAGATCGAACAGCACAGAGCCTACTCAGATTTTCTCTCTTCCCCTCCCCTACTCACTCTCAAAATAAACATTTAAAAAATTTTTTAATAAAATAAATATAAATAAAAGTTAAAAAAATTATTTAAAAAAGTAAAAATAGGGACTCCTGGGTGGCTCAGTCAGTTAAGCGTCTGACTTCAGCTCAGGTCATGATCTCGAGCCCTGTATTGGGCTCTGTGCTGACAGCTCAGAGCCTGGAGCCTGCTTCAGATTCTGTGTCACCTTCTCTCTTTGCCCCTCCCCTGCTCATGCTCTGTTATTCTATATCAAAAATAAATTAATTAAATAAATAAATAACATTTTTAAAAACTTTTTTAAAAAAGGAGACCTCAGAGAGAAGGGAGCATGACTGGAACTCAGCTCTGGGGCTGAGTCAGGGCCAGGCCAGTACACCTTTCCAGGAGGCAGAGTCTCTGCTCTTTCCCCTACCCAACTGACAGTATCCAGGCTGACCAAGCATGTGTCACTGACCTGGAGATTGCACAGGAACACTGGGCCCCAAGGAATACATTTCGCGTTCCTCGCTGTTCTGCCAAGGACAGCCTTGGAATGTGTCCTTTAGAGCTAGAGTTGTAGGGCACTTGGCTCACTGTTAAGGAAATACGCTAGATGGGGATGGGAACTGAGGGCAGAGCCCAGAAAAGCAAGTGTGTCAAGGCTAACCTGGACTTGTGTATTCTGTAACAGAATCCAATGCAACTGTTGGTTGCACACTGCATACCTGTTCCCTACTCCCATCTCCTTCTTCCTAACAGAACCTTAATTCTGTTCTGTGGAGCAGTCAGAAACTTCAGGGAAGCTTGGAGCCAGCCCTGGGAATGAGTCTTAATTAGTCTAAGCCCATTACAGTGATCCTATTCCCCCTGCCAGCAATTACTTAGTCATGGGCTGGTGGCATTCTGGATAATAAACCGAAGTCAGCCAGAATGAGAGAGGGTCCTAAGAAAAGTAAGCAATTTAAGACGCTCTTTAAAAAGATGCATGACAGAAGTACCTGGGCGGCTCGGTCAGTTAAACGTCTGACTTTGGCTCAGGTCATGATCTCATGGTTCATGAGTTCAAGCCCTGTGTCAGGCTCTGGGCTGACAGCTCGGAGCCTAGAGCCTGCTTTGGATTCTGCGCCTCCCTCTCTCTGCCCCTACCCTGCTTGTGCTCTCTCTCTCTCTCTCGCTCTCTCTCTCTCTCTTTCAAAATAAATAAATGTTAAAAAAAAAATCTTGAAAAAAACAAAAGATGCATGACAAATTAGAGAAAGAGAAATGGACAAGAAGGAATGATGTCCTTTCCTGCCTCTAGAAGTTCTATGGACATGATGACAGAACTTTGGTAGGCATCATGAAACCTTGTGGAATCCAAAGCTAATCTGGGGACAAAGCCTGAATACACAGCAAGGATGGATGTTAACGTAGAAAGGCCTGGGTCCTTGATGAGCTACTGAGTTAATCAACTTTTTTTTTTTTAACTTTTAATGTTTTTTCTTTCTTTTTTTTTTTTTTACAAATAGTTTATTGTCAAATTAGTTTCCACATAACACCCAGTGCTCATCCCCACAAGTGCCCTCCTCCATGCCCATCCCCCCTTCCCCCCCACATCCATCAGTCCTCAGTTTTTGTCAGCATTCAAGAGTCTCTCATGGTTTGCCTCTCTCCCTTTCCCCCACCATTTCCGCCCTTCTTCTCCCCCTTGTTCCTCAGTTAAGTTCCTCCTAATCCTCCTATACGTGCAAACATATGATATTTGTCCTTCTCTGCCTGACTTATTTCGCTCAGCATAACACCCTCAAGTTCCATTCATGTTGCTACAAATGGCCAGATTTCATTCTTTCTCATTGCCATGTAGTATTCCATGGTATAGATAAACCACATCTTCTTGATCCATTCGTCCGTTGATGGACACTTAGGCTCTTTCCATGTTTTAGCTATTGTTGAGAGTGCTGCTATGAACATTGGGGTACATGTGCTCCTATGCATCAGCATTTCTGTATCCCTTGGGTAAATTCCTAGCAGTGCTATTGCTGGGTCATAGGGGAGTTCTATTGTTAGTTTCCTGAGGAACCTCCACACTGTTTTCCAGAGGGGCTGCACCAGTTTGCATTCCCACCAACAGTGTAGGAGGGTGCCCGTTTCTCCACATCCCCGCCAGCATCAACTTTTTTTTTAATGGTTATTTATTTTGAGAGAGAAAGAGTGACCAGGCACAAGTGGGGGGAGGGGCAGATAGAGATGGAGAGAGAGAATCCCACCCAAGGCGGCTCTGTGCTGTCAATGAGGAGCCCTAAATGGGGGCTTACTCACTCCCAAGAACCATGAGATCATGACCTGGCCCAAAATCAAGAGTCACATGCTTAACCAGCTGAGCCAGCCATGCACCCCTTAACTAACCTTTTTATGTGAAATAATTAATTTCATTAATGTTAAGGCCAATGTACGTTTTCTTTTACTTAGAGCCCAAGGCATCATAACATAAAAATAAAAAACAAACAACAAGAACAAAAACAAGTTCAAATCCTAGCTTCACTAGAGATATAGACCTTGGCCAAATTCAGCTCATCAAGCCTCAGTTTTCTTATCCATGAAATGAGTACACTACTACTACTTCTTCACTGAGTAAGACAAAATAGATAGCAGGACAAGAGAGCAGCATGAGATGATACGAAAAGAACAACTGGTCCAGTGTTTGCTTATGTTAAGTGCTAACTAAATTGCAATTCATAGTGTTTGGTTGGAATTTGGTGGGAATGGGAGAAAGGAAAAGAGCTGAGGACAGTAACAGAGGTTGGGAGCTCAGGGGGAAGAGTGTGAAGCTGAGAAACTGAAAGTTCGAATTTAATTTGGGGTATAGATTAGACTATAGAGACTAGGGGCACCTGATGACTCAGTCAGTTAAGCGTCTGACTTCAGCTGAGGTCATGATCTCTCCGTTTGTGAGTTTGAGCCCCACATCGAGCTCTTTGCTGACAGCTCAGAGCCTGGAGCCTGCTTCGGATTCTATGTCTCCCTCTCTCCTGCCCCTCCTCTGCTCTGTCTCGCATGCGTGGTCTCTCTCTCTCTCTCTGTCAAAAAATAAATATTTTTTAAATTTTTTTTTTTAAATGTAGAGACTAGAACAAATTCTGTAGAATACACCATGGCAGTTAGAATCAGTGTGTGAGTTAATTCAAGTTAGGAACAGGTTACAATTAGTCTTAGATTTG